AAAAAAAAAACAAAGAGTTGCATGCTGGTGCTCCATTGTTGTAAGTAGGAAATTGGGAAGGTAAGCTTATATAAGTGTACATAATTTATATATTCTGTATAAACGACGATGAATATCGGGATTTTTACGATTTTCGTTAAAGTTTGAACCTAAAATGTTTACAAAAAAAGTACTGCATTGCGCTCAACTTTTTTTTTTAACCTTCAAATATAACTTATGAAAAAACTTCGTGTTAACATTTTAAATAGTTTAACTTTGTCGAAAAATCGTATTTACATAAATCGAAAAATAATGCTCGAAATGCCATGTTTATTTTTTTTACGATTTTCGTTGAAATAACTTTAAACACGTATAAAAAAACTATTTCATTACTCACAACTTTCATTTTTTTTACCATTAAGTGCAACTTTTAATGAAGCTCGAGTAAAATGTTCAAAATGTTCTGCTCGACCAAAACCATCTATGTTTATTGACATTTCGCAAAAAGAACGGACTATAATAAAAATATATTTTTCAAGCAATAAAATCACTGTATTTATTTTGTCATAAAAACCAAATTTTTTTTTTAAATTTCGTTGTATCATAATAATTGATATTGCAAAATGATGTTATAGGACTTTGAAAACTGTTATAATGTTCTCTAGGAATAGCACGGGTGTAGGGTGTATCCAAGACTAGATAACGAAGGGGGGAGTATATTTTTTTAAATTAATACAAATAATATAGGCACGCATTTATAATGAATCGAGCTAATAGTATATTGTGGTTAAAAGTGTATTGAACAGTGGATGAGGGAGAAGAAAACTCCCACTGACGATATAACCAATAATACGTATTATGACCGTTGAACCGATGACCTTTTCAGTAATTTCACCGTCTTTTGTTGGGTATACTTGGGATAAATAATAAATACGTTTTGAATACGTTATATACCGTTTTGAATTTTTTATTGTAACGCGTCTATTTTATTATTATTTGAGAAATATCAATTTTTATATTCTATTACAATTCTATTTCGGCAAATAAAAGGTTCTCCGTGTATTGTACCTATAGGTATTATGTAATGTATATATAAAAAAAAAAAAAAAAAAAAAAAAAAAAAAAACAGTCAAATAATAATAGTTGAATATTGTAATAATATATTCGATTCTAATAAAAAATAAAATCTTATTTCGACCTTTTCTTTCTTTTTATTATTTTATAAAATGCCAAAAAAGAGTAAATATTTCAACAATGTTATTTGCTTACAATATATATTAATATACCTACGTCATGATATGTAAACCTCATATTTTAGATGCTTCGAGAGAAACAATTCGTAAATAACATTTCACGAACTTTAAATTTTGTATTTATTCAAAATGTTTGAATTGAATATATTAAAATTGCTATATTAAAACTATTCATTTTATTAAATCTGGAGCGTTAAATAGTGAAATATTTTATAAATTTGCGAAAACTAAGAACAAAACGTTAAGTCATTTTTATTTCTCTTTAAAGTCTGTTAGCTTTCTCGTGGAAAATGTCTATTTAAACTTCGTCATGAAGTGTTAGGATTCCTTAACAAGAACAATTCCGATTAGAAAAATTATTTTTGTGGCTGTGATTGTGTAGGTATAGTTAATAATAGTTAATGATGATGTTGGCAGTTGATATTTTTCTCGACGCAAGGGTAAAATATTCAATATTTTTAACTAATCAAAAAAACTATTTATTAAATTCAAGTATAGAAAAAGGAAATATTGATATGTTTTTAGTATTTTTAGCGGATTTCTAATAGATTACTTGGTTAATGTTATTGATATAAAACAATTAATTTCATAATCGTACATTCAAATAAATTGTCTATAGCACTAAACTATTACGTACCTAGTTATTTCCTTTTTTATGAGGAAGTGGGGTACCTACTCAACAAAGAATTAATTTCACTCAACTGGGAACACTCATTATCTTAAAGAATTTAACACCAACATTTATTTGAAATAATACTCCATCCATTTTTTGGAATTTTTAATATAAGTTACGATCATTTGAAAATTAAGTAGGTAGAGGTTTTACTTCCAAAAATAACGGTGCCAAAAATACCATCCATGTAAAATTCTAAAGCTGATTGTTTCTTAAATGTTCTATAAAAAAAATTCCAAAAAAAAGTTAATACTTTTCGGAATAATAAGTGTCTTACGATAGAATTCTGTATATACACATTTTTATCTTAGAATATAAAATAAAAAACCGTGCTGACAGCGACGTCTGTCCATACTGAAAAAATATATAGGCACGCCGAAAGACATTTTTTATTTATATTGTTATTTATTTCTAATTTTTTATACCGTGGCCCACGTGCAAATAAAATCGAACGAAAACGAACGCTGGATCGGGAGGGTGGGGAGACAAAAAAATATTGCACCGATGGAATCAACAATGTTAATATCAGTAGGTATACACTTTATAACTGTGACAGAAGTAGTGAAAATCAACGTATCTATAGATACTTGTTTTGAAATACATTTCCTATCCTCCTGGTTATTGATTATTTTTTGTCAAACGTTAAAGTACGCCGTTACAGATGGATTCCATACATATCTAATGAAATGCAGGTGGATGACGAAATTTTCGTGATGACCACTATTAATTGGTCAACAGCAGTTATTCACGTCTCATCGAAGTAATCAGTTAATGGACTTAATAGATCTACATTTTCCGAAAAAAAAGCAGCATTTTGATATTAATTCATCAGATTTTTCAATTTACATTAAAGGAAGGAATCTATAAATGAAATGAATGAAAGCTTAAGTTTTATTTGTAAAGCAAAATCTGCATTGTTTAAACTTACCTATTATACATTTCTCGTATACAATATTATATAATAGATTTCCAACCAGAAGGGATTTGTGTTTTTGGCCAACATTGTATTTGTTTAAAGTTGAATAATAGTTTATTTTTTTTATGTAAAATTAAAAAATGTCGTGTAATTTCCAGAAGTTTGATAAACAAGTAAAATGAAGATTTGGAAAATTTATGATATTGTATGGTTATTTGACTAATGGATTCTGAAGGAAACGGAGAATGTATTAATTATAATTTTTAATATGGTATGATTTTTGTTGTGTCTATATTATACATCTTATCTACCAGAAATCTTGCTTCAAAAAAATTAAAAACATTTTTTTGTAGAATTTTTTATTTAGAATCTAGATGGTACATTGGTTATGTTTTTTTTTTTTATTCTTCTTAGAGTTTTTCATTAAATGGGCAAAACTGGTCATTTTTTGTATGCATACGTTTTGCTAAAGAAAAAATACGACTGATAATACTCAGAATCGTTTTTTGTAAGCAAATATCAATGGTTTATCTTTGTGTATAGGTATGAATTATATTACTTTTTATGCTCCCTTCAGACTTGCCACTGAATCCTAACATAGTACTACACCCTTTAGCAGTATCGGTTTTTTTCTCTTAGTATAATTAAAAATCAATTATATAAAGTAAAATATTGTATTATTTCAAAATATTATGACAAAAAGTACCCTATCATAACTCGAATTCTACACATACCTACTGCCAGATATACGCTATTTTTCTAGTAAAAATGTTGAAGTGTAAAAGGTCAAATTGTATATTTGCGTTAAATATCTACTCATAGCAATCTTGACGGAAAACATTTAATGAAACTTATTCTAGCGAAGAATTTCCACTTTATTCTGTGTTGATAGATCAAAAAGGAGTCGAGTTATCTATACTAATAAATCTTCACGGGCTTGATGGGAGGCTAAGGTTTTGTTTGCCCGTAACTCGGAAACTAATGAACCGATTTTAATGAAACATGATAAAATCATTAAAAACCAACTATAAAATGGTTTTAACGTTTTTTTTTTTTTTTTTTTGGTATTTTAGTTGGAAGATTAATCATATGACAATAAAGCCGAATGTCAAAACTGAACAAATTGGTCCACAGAGCCGCGGTAAATAGCTATTATAAAACCTAGTTAGTGTGCTGTACAAAATGAAAAAAAAAAAAACTAACTGTATCTTTCATTAAACAAAATATATTCGTTTAAGCCAAATTTAATGAATCATTTATTCAAAATGTACCTATTTAATAATAACCCATAAGCATATCAATATTAAAAAGTTTAAAGAATTGTTTAAAGATAAGAATAAAAAAACAAAAACGATTTTGTTTGTTGGAAATGTAATTTTTATAATATTATATAATCTACATTATAAAAAACAAACGGATATACTTCGCACGACGAGTGGGCCAGTGTTGTAAGTGAGAAATTGGAAAGATAGAAGGGGAATTTAATACATATCTGTACGCAAAGATTAATTATTGTTAACGAAAAACGATTCTGAACGGAGTTCGGTTATATATGGTATAAAAGTAAAATGGTAAAAATATTAATGTACATTGATGAATATAATACAACGTTATTGGGAATTAATAAATTAAGCAAAACATATAAATAAACAAAAAAATAATAATTTTCTCTAAAAAAGGAAACGTTGAAATATTGAAACTTATCGAACAATATATGATATCAAACATATATTACAAAAATATTCGAAAAATTCTGAAACAACGTTATTTTACACACAACCGCCTGTACAAATGTCAGTAATTGTTCTTGTAATCAACAATCACTTATAAATAATAATGTTAGGTATGTAGGAATAGAAATGTGTAGGATTATAAAATGGATGGACCATAATATACAAATACTAGTAACAAATATAAAAAAACTTTCCTATGCTTTTTAGGAAATTGAAAAATATAGTGAACATAAATCAAACAAGAATGATTTATGAGGTTTTTATGTGGGATTATCGCTTGAGGTAATAACAATATAAATATAATGTATGTAATAATGCTGAAAATACGAATATTTATCGTCTTCAAATAGCGCAAAAATAATATGTTTGAATAAAAATTATTTATCCTATATCGAAAAATCACCTATACATGGAATTGAATGTCTTAACAGTAAAAAAAAAACGTATTTTATGAAACAGCTCTCGTTTTTTATTTCTAAATAAAATAAAATTAAAGCAACCAACCACATGTTTAACACGAAATGTATAATTAAAAATATTATCATTGATATAAAACTATCATCCAATTGTCACATTCATTTGTAAGACATTTTACATATTAAAATAAACTTTCCCAGCAGTAACACAATATTTCAGATTTGGAGTGTAGCGAGGGACCTACTATTGTTTTACTATGTGTATGTGTTTTTTTTTCCGGTTTATAACCGACTTTTCGAAAAGAAATTTTTGTTCCGATGTATAAAGTATAGTACTTTTTATGAAAGGTAGTTTTTTCTAGCTGGTGCGTACACGAAAAATACGTAGAACTTTCGGGAAAATGCATGAAAATAATACCCATATACTGCAATTATTTTGAATTTTGTTTTCCGATAGAATTCAGTTAAAAATATTCATAGAGACTTGAAACTTCGACAACAAACTCATATTTGCTTTTTCTAGACGTGATAAATTTTCAAAACAACTGAACCAATTTCGGACATTTTAATTTTGCGATTTTGTTACGTCGTTTTCTTTTTTTTTTTTTGGTAAATACTCTGCGGATAAAATTGTTAGACTATATAGAAATGCTCTAAATTTTGACAGGATGTTCATTAAAAGTCGTACTAAGTGATAAAAAAAAAATATAAAAATATTCTAATGTAGTAATGAGTGTAATGTATTATCATTATTTTTTTTATTACATTAGAGTTTTAAAATCAAATTTGGACGAAATATTACGGCCTTTCAAAACACTCATAACCGAACTTCGATGGTTTATCGTTGGTTACAGGTATGCATCAAATAACTTTATGTATCCCGCCGTCTCAACTGTCCACCAACAACAGTGGCCTCGCCCGTTCCCAGTAGCAGCTCTCATAAAAAATAAGATCGCCCAGAACGGCTAATGCAAACAGACTGTAAACCCAACGAAAACAGTCTCATGAAGTCACAACGATCCACGTTAATTCGTCTCGGCTCTTCTGTATTCTAATGGTAAATATTTAAAACTGTAATCTGTACGTAATTAATACCTTGTGAAAAAAAAAAACTCTGCGTAGTTCAAACAGATTCACGGGCCACCACGCGAGCGTGCTCAACGTGGCTCACAAATAAACCAAGTCGACTAAATAAATATCAAAATAACGAGGGAACGCGTAACATCCAACCGTCATTATAGTTTATTGATTCCGACAGTATTTGAAGCGGCGCAGTATGGTTTACAGCGGCGTGCGAATAATAATAATATTGATAAAACGCAATGTTCGTATAATTGTATAATATTATCATTTGATTCAACGCGTTCAATTAAAAGTAACATCTACATATTAATTAATATTTTTGACATTAAATTTTGTTACAATGATAAATTTGTTAAATAAAATGTTCGAGAATAACAATAATAATAATAAAAAAAAAAAACAAAAAAAAAAACAAAAACAAAAAACAAAACGAAAATCGTTTTCTAAACTACAGGCGGACCCTAGTGCTATTATAGTTATATAGCATTACGTTTTATATGTACAGGATATAAATTAAATTAAATTAAATTAAATTAAAAACCACGGCGAACGGTCCCGGCGGTCAGGCCGCCGCGGCCGGTTGTAGCTGTTCCGCTTCCGGTTGCTGTTCCGAATCGGATTGTTGTTGCGGCGCGGACGTCGTGGAACTTGTCGCCGCCGGCGTCACCGTCGTCAGGGTCGTCGTGGCCGTTGCGCCGTCTGCTATCAAGCCGTCGTGACGGCCTGCGCCGTCCGCCGCGACCGCCGCGGTGTCGTTGCCCGGTGGCCGCGTGTCCGTCGCCTGTTGCACCAAGATCTCGTCGTCGCCGTCGTCGGTCACCGTAACCGAATGACGGCGGTTCTGGTCCGGGTCTTCGACGGACGAGATCTGCACGGAGGGCACCATTTTCGGCTTGAAACCGCCGTACTCGATGTAAACGACTTTGGTGCGGGGCGGTTTCGCCGGCGAATACCCGGCCGCGCCGTTGATCCAGTTGGACGACGCGCCACCGACGCCGCCGTTGCCGGCCGCCTGCGATACGTACCGCGATTTTCTGGCACCGCCGGCGCCGTGATAGTTGCCGCCTGCCAGCTGGGAATACGGCATCAGCGACTGCGGCCTAGACGGCTCCACCATCGACGACTTTACGTAGTACGTCCAAGGGACCGGGTACTGGGACGCCCACACCGGGTGGCTGGGCCTGAACGGCGGCACTGACTGCGGGTGTTTGCCCGCGGCCGTCTCCCGATCTTGTTGCGATCTACTGTTACGCCGTCCCAACGGCGGCGGCCTTGCGCCGTCTCTGGTGCGGTAGTGGTGTAGATTCGCGAGCAATTGCTGTTGCGATTGCTGTTGCTGGTATTTGCCGAGACTTGCGTAGTTGTGATAATAGTTTAGCTGATCGCCGCCGTATTGCTGTAGTAACGGCGACGGCGAATACATCTGCAGTGTCCCGGCTGCGTTGTTATTGTTTAACTGCTGCTGCTGTTGCTGTTGTTGCTGTTGTTTTTGATGCTGTTGTTGTTGTTGTTGCTGTTGCTGTTTTTGTGCAAGGGCTTGTTGATAATACAAGTGATGTGAATACTGTTGTAGTTGGTCGTCATCGTTTATATTGTTATTGTTGTTGACAACGGCGTTATTATTATTATTGTTGTTGTTGTTGTTGTAATAATACAAATACTGATGTTGTTGTTGCTGGTGTTCCGACAATTCGGTTTGTTTGATTTGTTGCCGTTCCGGATCGGATTGTTGTTGCTGTTGCTGTTGCTGCTGTTGTTGTTGCGGTTGATCAGGTTCGCCCGATTGACTGCCGACCGGTATATAATTGAATTCCGGTTGAGGTTGTTGCAACGACGAATCGACGAGGTGCTGTTCCGACGCGCTAGGCACGGAAACGATTTCCACTTCCGTGCGCTCTCGGCCGACGACAAAAGCCTGCGATGGTATCACCGAGACGCCGTCGGTGCCGGCCGGTTGCTGGCCCTGGGACGCCGGGAATGGCCACACCGAGGACTGCAAAGAGGTAGAAGGCATGAGCAACGGGGCCAACAGGGCTTGATGTTGCCGTTGTTCGTCTTGCTGTTGAAACGCGTTGCCGAAATTCGTCTGCTGCTGTAACGGAGGTAAATAAATTATTATTATTATTATTTTTTTTTTATAAACCACACAGGTACACGTAACGCGATAAATTTACTATGAAAAATAAGCAGCCGATTAGAGTTTATGTTTCCCCCTTCGGAAATCCACAGGTATATTTATAAAACGTATCTACGGGGTGGCGATGACGTGCCCGTAACCTGCCGGAGGAAAAAACGTATAAAAAAACATTCTAATAATAATATTATAAGCCCGCGATTTATGTACGTACGGGTTTGTTTTTTTCTTCTACAAAAAAAAAAAAAAAAAACGTGCCTGGGTGTTCCGGTCTGGGTATTTAAACATTTCGCGGGGCGGGAGGCGGTCCGGACCGCACGGATCGCTCACTGGCTGCGTGCCCGAAAATACGTATTACGGCGACGGGAGCGGAAAATACCCGAACGCACTTAACGCGATTTATTGTACAAAAGTTCGTCGCGCGTTCACAGACGAGAAACTTTTTTCGGTTTTTTTTAACCAAACACGGCTATACAACGGAAAAAAAATAATAGTTTTCCTAATATACCCGACCCGTGACGTTATTGTATTGTACCCGTTACCTGTATTGTTATAACGGCCGTGTTATAATAGGACGTGCCAGGGGCTTTCAGGGGCCATTCGATTTTTTCAACCACGGACGACCGTACACGATATTATTATTTACAATATAATGTGGGGGTTTGTCGGGATCGATAGCGGGAGTTATACAACTAACAATACGGACAATGCGGTTTTAGCGATTATGTATTTATAACAAATAATGTCGCCACAAACGGAGTGACCCTCCATTAGTAAATAATAATAATGATAATTTTTTTTTTTTTTTTATATAGTCTTAATACTTTCGAAAACGATTATGGCATTGTTCACAGTGCTCGAATTTTATGCGCAGGGGACGGAGGAGTTCATTTACTTTTTTTTTAATTTCAATTTTTTATTTTTAACGTTCCATTACTATATTAATCATACAGGGACGCGTCTCTTATGAATATTGATAATGAAGATAAAAAAAAAAAAAAAAAAACGTTTCAATTCCAATAGTAAATATTTATTTTTTTTATTAATATTGATGTAAGTAATTTAATCAAAATTTAAACATTAAAATTTGATATTTTACGAAAATTATACGAAACGATTAAAAGGATGTCATTGGCAACCGTTTTTATTATTTTAAACCTTTTTTAAACAATCGTTTTTGACATGGAAACGCAAATTGTTGTAATCATTTTACCATAATATGATATATACCATGCATTGTATTGTTGACAAAGCAACACTATCTACTGAACTCCGCTTAGAATCGTTTTTTCGTTAGCAATGGTTTATCGTTGCTTACAGATATATATTCAATTTCCTTTCTACTACCTTCCCAACTTCTCACCTACAACAGTCGCTACACCCATCGTGCGAAGTATGTCCATAATTTTTTTGTTTTTTTTTTTGTTATTCCTTTTATTTAAAATTTTTCTTCGCTCAGAATCGTTTTTCGTTTCATACAGTTATAAATAACCTTATGTATCCCGCTTTTTCGACTATCCGCCTACAACAGTGGCTGCACCGCTTCCCCGGTGTCAGCTCTTTTTTTATTATTTTTTTTTTTCCCCCCCTCGTAAATTATTAATTATAATTGAATGATGTCTGTAAAATCGGTACGGGCGGGTGCGGGGGTGAAGACCCCGCCGGTTTAACGGTCGTGTTCAATCGTTGTAAAAGCCGCTAATTTTTTGTTTTATGTTTTAAAGCCCCTCCGTAATATTCGATTAATATATTAATATAATCAATCGATTCATTTTTTATAGAAAAAAAAAAAAAAAAAAAAAACCCGCACTAATAGACAACGCGCATTATAGTATTTTATCGAATATAATATTATTATCTCCCGCGGACGAACCGGAGCTCCGTGCGATCGACGTTTTTTTATACGCTACCTAACAATAACTACGTTTCTCCCCGTGTTCTTTTATGCATTTAACGAACGGACGATTTCCTCGTATATTTTAATAACGACATAATAGACGGCCATCGACATCAAGTGCCAAGTGGCGTATTATAATATTATTACGATTTTTACTCGTATTTTATGATACGGCGAAAAAAACACCATGCTGCTCGCTCTACTCTAATAATATAGTCAGTGGCATCGACGTAAATTCGACGTGAATATAACTAGACGCTTATACTATAGTTTTCATAAAGCCGAATTGAATTAGGTACAATTATTTTAAATACATACATATAATTTTAAAAAAAAAAAAATGAAATAATAATGATAATTTCATTAATATTTTTCTAACAGATTCGTTATAATTTACGGTAGTTGTTATGAATAAATTATAATCCAAACTGAAAAATTATGAATTATAATTGTAATTATAGATATAGGTATCTAGTTTCTATTGGTTATGCAATTTTAAACCTACATTATTTTCATAGTATATTGCTATCATTAATTTTTTCAATTAAAAGATACTAACATTAAGTGAAAAAAAAAACTAATAAAACTTTGATTAAATTGATATAATCAATTTGTGAAAGTCTTGTCAATTAAAATATTTTTACTTGTAAAATATCCTACTTAAAGTCTAACCATATCAATGTCCAGTTTCGCCTATGATCCTTTTATTCTTAAATTTACGTACATTTCAATTAGGCATATAAGATTATTAATAGTAAGAAACGATCCCTTAGAAATTCTCCAATATTCCTGGCGATTCCCGATGATTCCCGCTAACCGTATTCATATACGGTTCAATAAATAAATTATTAAATTAAACCAATCGCACGACCATTAACCTTTATAAAATCTAGATGTGTGTACCAAATCTTTTGTTACTTTTACTACTTAGTTCTATGGTATAGGTAATGAACAAAATTTACTTTTATTTT